TCAAACATGAAACAGACTGTTGCAAGTGTCCACTGTTATATTTACACTCGCGCTAGCTCTGGTATTGAGCACTTTTACCCATGAATAGAGCATACATTATAACTATATTTTTAACATATATATATATATATATATATATATATATATATATATATATATATTTGCATATGCATAATTACAAAATTACATTTCAAACTAATCACGGCACATTACCTTGCATCTAAACATATCGTTCTGTTGTTAATATTTCGTTCCCTCACGTGTTCCGATATCATAGAACAGCATCACGAATTTCCGACTGCTATTCCGCGATCGTTATCGTCGCATAGCAAACTGCTCTGTAGACATAACAGGTATCATCTTTGATGGGTAATATCTTTGTCCATATAACAACTCTGATGATGGCTTATGCGAGCCGAAAGCTCAGATCGAGGATAAAAATATCCAAATCGATAGTTTTTGCTTTTATTTTCTCCCGTAATATACGAAGCTTAGAACGGCTCATGATCAAACATAATAGACCTTTTTCGTCTATTATATTTATCAATACATACATATATATATATATATATATATATATATATATATATATAAACAAACAAATTTAAACAAAAAATCATAATTCAGCTTTGTAACACTTAAAAATCTTAGTCTTTTCGATAGCTCTCCTATAACCTGTTCGGATAATTTAAAAATAGCTCGTTGAATAGGTTGTACGCGGGTTCATTAAGAAGTCCTGCGTGTGTCATGGTTTATAAGCCCTTTTTCTCATTATGTCTATTTCTGATGCTAAGTCTGATTGTCTCTTTTTGTTTCCATTTTCCGTAAAACTTCCTTGTTGACGTGTTCGAACTCGCGTCTCCTTTAACTGGAAAAACGACCGATTGACGCTCGCCTATCACAATGATTGATTGATTCATTCATTATATTTAAGAAGCGATAGCGGACAAACTTGAAAATGGTTGCATTCGTTCTGGAATATTTGTTCTTACTGAAACGACTATAAATAAATATGTCCCGAAAAAAATGAAAGTATATAATGAAAGTAAGTAATGTCAGTCATGAAGCTCTATCATTAGATAAACACAAAAAAGTACTGACTATTAGCCTAAATTGAGTGTTTATCTGTCATCCAAATTTATAGTGACCCTCCTTGAGCGTTATATAGAAATGATTCTGTACCAACGTTGCCTTACTTCGGGTAAATCAAACGACAATTTACTTGCTTTGACCGCTTATAGCTTTCCATTCTTTCCTTTTTTATCTGTTAAAAGAGACGTATTAACGAAGTCATTGTCTTGTATTAATCTAGCGTAGAGTAGACCTAAGGAGAGGGTGAGAATACTCTGTTTCAAGTGGAGTTCACTCACTACCAATTTGTTTTCACCAAGAAAAATTAGCCGCCAAGGAGTTATACGAAATAAATATCTCTATCCATCATCTGTTGAGCATGCTTGCCAGGCTGTAACGGTAGAAGATTGGATGTCTTGTTTTCTCTGCTAATCTAAAGACAAAACTCGACGGGCATTTGACAGCTTGTCGCCTGAATCTATCTGATCTGACGAAATATCTGGGCCGCGCACATACAAAGGCATTATTTTATTTTAACTCTTTGCTTATTTTGTTTTCATGCCAGCATCATTGAAACATCGTGCATCAATGCCGGTTTATGACTCAATTACGTGTATTTGTTAGTATTTTCTTGTTGTTTTATAACGAAAGATAACTTCTAAAGACTATTTTTTTCTTTCAACTTGTTTCAATCAAACGTTTATATTTTTTCTTCTTTCGTTTCTACGATTTTTCTTTCCTTTTCGTCTTATGTTTTATATTCGTGTCAACTCCTTGTTTATCATTTTTCAAATCTTTTTTTGTTTATTTTTTATTTGTTCATTGATTTCTTGTCATATATTTTTTAATTACTTTTGATCATCCTTTTGTTGTCCTTTATTATTTGCTTATAAATAATTGTTTTTGGTCAGTCGCTTTAAACATGCTTAAAATTTTCATTATATACAATATTTTCATTCGTTCATCTCATGGCTTCTTTTTTCTTTGCCTCTTGTTTATATCTTCCCGCATTTTATTTCCAAGTATTCTTCTTCTTCTCTTTCCATGATTTCCTTTTCACTCGTATTTTTATTTTTTTATCCAATCCTATTTTTGTTTCAATTTTTCTTTCTTTCTTTTTTTAGCTTCGCTTTCCGATTCTTCCATTTGTCGCCTACTCTTTCTGCTACCACGCATTTTGCAATCTTTCATTCTTCCAGTAATTTCTTTCTTTCTTTCTTTCTTTCTTTCTTTCTTTCTTTCTTTCTTTCTTTCTTTGCCTCATTTTTCTCCATTTATAGTCGCATTTTTGTTTCATTTGCACGATATTTTTTACGCTTCTCTTGCTGTTATCACAGACCTTTTCAACTTTTGTTTGTTTGTTTATTTATTTCCAAATATCATTCTCTCATTTTCCCCGTTTCCATTTTGTTTCATTTACCGGATTTGAATTTTTTTTTAACCTTATCTTACTGCTATCATTTATCCTTTCATGTTTTCTTTCATTCTTCCTTCATTTCTTTCTTTCCCTTTCTCATTTTCTACATTTATTGTTTTATTTTTGTTTCAATTGCCGGATAATTTTTACACTTCTTTTTCTGTCATCACTTACTTTTTCAAAGTTTCTTTCTTTCTTTCTTTCTTCAATATTATCTCTCTGTGAATAAGATTTCCTTTTGAAAAATATCCGTCCACTAAATTAATTTAATTTTTTTGTATTTATTTATTTCTCTATCGCCTTTTTTCTTTTCATCTCTCATTTGTAATCATTTGAAAATTGACTTTTGAAAAGCTACTTTATATCAATTCGTTTGTTGAATTTTGTAATCTTTTATGTTCTTTTTTGAATTTTGACAAATATGTTTTTAAATGAATGTATTTTTCTATAATATTGTTTTCAAATCATTTTCGTTTTGCTAATAGTTATGGGTGACTCAACGTTGAAGCAACATTTGCAGTCTAATTTTGTATAACATTATTGCAAATAATTTTTACTTACTGGGTGTCTCTTTATTATGGCCTTGTGACATACCAGGATAATTTTAGCAACTATAACTTAATACTGGCTCTTTTCAGAAATCACTTCTTTTTTCTTTCATTTTCATTTAAAATTTCTCTTCTTTAACTCTTACGCGTTATTTTTCTTTGTTTCTTATTGATGTCCACTTCTGTTAAGCTTATTTTCTTTTCACTTTCTTTTTTGTTTGTTTATTTCTTTCTTTCTCTCTTTCTTTCCACTCATATTTATCGTCACTAATTTTCGTTTTCTTTCTTTCTTTCTTTCTTTCTTTCTTTCTTTCTTTCTTTCTTTCTTTCTTTCTTTCTGCTCCTATGTACATTATTTGCTTTTCCCTTTCTTTCACTCTTTCTTGCTTATTTGTAAATATTTATTTCAATTCTAACCTAAATATCATCTTTTCCTTTTATTTATTTTTTATTTATTTTTTATTTATTTCCGCTACTATTTAAATTCTTTCTTTGTTTGTTTCTTTATTTCTTTGTTTCTTTGTTTCTTTCTTTCTTTCTACATTATTTGCTTTTGCCTTTCTTTCTCTCTTTTTTGCTTATTTTTAAATATTTATTTCAACTCTAACTTAAATATCATCTTTTCCTTTTATTTTGTGTTTTTTTTATTATTTGTTTCCACTCCTATTCACATTTTTGTTTGTTTGTTTGTTTGTTTCTTTCTTTCTTTCTTTCTCCTCCTATATCTTTATTTCCCCTCATATTTCTTTCTTTCTTTCTTTCTTTCTTTCTTTCTTTCCCCTCATAAATCTTTATTTCCCTTTCTTTTTTTTCTTTCTTTCTTTCTTTCTTTCTTTCTTTCTTTCTTTCTTTCTTTCTTTCTTTCCCCTCATAAATCTTTATTTCCCCTTATCTTTCTTTCTTTCTTTCTTTCTTTCTTTCTTTCTATTCTTCAAGATTTACATTCGATTTTCCCTTATTTCCTGTTCCTACGTCTTTGTAGCAAAATTCATTTATCTTTGATTCCAACCTTTTCCCTCTTTTCCATCATTTTGTTCTCTTCTACAAGAGAAGCAAGCAAAAGCTTCCTTCTCTTGTCACCTCCCCTCTACCTCATCAGTGCCTTTGTCTTATATATCTCATTACTTATTGATATCAGCCATGTCATCTGAAGTGCTTGGCATGTCGCAGCGCAGAGAGTAACGCATTCTATTTGCTGGCACGACGACATTAACAACAAACAAACAAAAAAGACAATCACAGGAAATATACCAATCTTTGTCGGTCCGCGGCCGTCATCAGAAATAAAAGAACAAATAAGCAACATTATGGCGTATAATAAGAAAGAACAGAGGAGTATTACGAAAGTTTTTCTTCACATTACAACTCTTACCGACTTTTAGTATGCTGTCTACAGCTAAATCAAAGCAAAGCTATATTCACGTGTCAAACAACGAGATTCTATTTTTGGTACATTAAAATAAGATAATGATTATTTTCATATGACAGTTCACAGACAACGTTTAATGCAATGATATGAATTTTTCCTTATTGAACTCGTTTGGTCTTAGTTTCATATTAGGAGATCAATTACGATATTTAATCAGCCATATTTTAATATATCGAAAAGCAGTGTTATTTCCTGCAAATTCTTTTTCTTCTATACTCCGTGTCCGTTCAGGACGTGACCGAACGTCTCTCTCCACGATTTCCTGACCCTACAACGTTTTCGCCCTTTTTTCAACCTGACCTCCCCAAGCTACTACCATGATTTTATTCGAGCTCAGCGGGTAGGTGGTCAGTTGCCAACAAGAGAGTTACGTTCTCCAAGTTCTTCTTCCTCGTTATATTTTCAATAAATTTTAGCTCTCTCTCTCTCTCTCTCTATCTCTCTCTCACTCTCTCTCTCTCTCTCTCTCGCTGGTTTTGCCGATTTCTGCTGCGATTGTTCACATTTTCATGAAGATTTCCCCGTTGCACGTTCGAACCGTGTATGGATTCATCAGCACCCTCTTGTAGAATCCTGTTTCTGTTGTTTCCAGTTTCCTCTTCATCTCTGGGGAGATTGTCGAGCATTCACTGCCATACAAGTGGTTTGATATCACATGATAATTCAGTGACAACCAAAAAGTCATATATCTTTTATTAGATTTTTCCTTATTTTTTTTTATTTCTTTCTTTTTTTGTAGGGGTAAAAGTTACATTTTTATATCCCATATTTTCCCTATCGTCAGTTAAATGTTGATAGCAAAACGGACGGTGCTCTCTAGCCTTGTTTGGAAAACAGTCTAAGAGAAGGGCAATAGTGAATTTAACAACGGTTGCACATAGTGCTATCACTTTCACTTAATAAAATCTACTTGTTAGAAAAGGGACAGCAGTGACACATAATGTCGTGAGGCCGTCGCACTATACTCCACAGAACTGAGAATGTTAACACACACACACACACACACACACACACACACACACACACATATATATATATATATATATATATATATATATATATATATATATATGGACAAAGGCCGACAATTATTTTAAGACATGTTTTACGTTCTTTTTATAGATACAAATATTTAAGTAAATGCTCTGTTTATAATAAACAGTATTAAACGACATTTACTGGCCTGAATGTCCGAGAAATTTTCATAGAAAATAGGCGTCCTCCGAAAGGAATCGAACCTGTATCTTATATGGAACCGTCATATAGTCATGGAGAATTGTAGTCTAAAAACAGTAAAATCGAAATTGCTAACTGAAACGCTCCTCTATGGCTAAATCGGTAAAGCACGTCAGGCTGTATGACGGTTCCATAAAGGTTCGATTCCTGTCGGAGGACGCATATTTTCCATATTAAAAGGGTTAGAGCATTATCTTCTATTCTTCCTTTCTATATCTCCATTTTATTTTCTCACTAAAAACAAAGAGCGGCTCCAATATGTATTTTTCTTACGTTTTTCCTCACACCATAAATGGCCTAATATTTTTCTGAATCAATGTCAAGGCGTAACGCACTTGCTCATAGCTTAATTCATAAAACAGAAAACAGAATTATAAGATGATGTCTTTGGATCGAGGCGTGTCGTTTGTTTGCCTAACACAAGTTGATGACAAAGATCTAATGGCTTTGAAATCAAATATTTGTCTGTGCTTAGAGACAGATCACTTAGCTTGACAAATACAAACTCTTGCACTAAACTGAACGACTTATACTTATCTATAAAGGTTTACATTATATATTGGCTAGAATTATAATACTCAATGTAACCATCTACACATATATCTTGAGTTATCATGTCAGTTATGTACCATGCGTGGTACACTATTAGGCGATCATGTATCTTTCGATATATGACAGACGAGGTTGCAGTTTCATTCTGCCTTAAACCAGTTGCCATCCAAGGCTATAGAACACGGTATGTACTGCTATTTACCCATAGGTTGGAGAGAAGTAGAGTATCCATGCCTTTCTCAAGCGTATTAGCACGTAAGTGAATGTAATGGATTCAAATGGAATTCAAAATCGGCTCTCCGATGCCTCAATCCGGGAAAGCTTTAATAGAAATGGAAACAAAAAAGATGATTGTACTTAAAATCAAGAATAGACGAAACTTTTTCGAAAACATTATGAGGAAAGAGTGTTTAGAGAATTTGACACTAACAGGACATACTGAAGGCAACACAGAGAGAAGGAACCAATGAGTAGCCTAAATAACAAACATGTATAAATGAATATCAAAAAGGTGCAATGTGAGTGATAGTGAAAGACAAATTCTACTAAGAGCTACAAATGACGCGACAAACGAAAGAAAAAAAAAAAAAAAAAAAAAACAACTGAATTTGTTGGTTTCTGCTGACTGAATTTGAATCCGTTTATGTCTGAATACGATTATACCTGTTTATCTGCTAGACTACGTTGACTCATACTTTTCCGTATTTATCTTCCACAATGTTTTTATATGTTGATGATACACTACTGGTTTAAATCCATTAATACTTATTTAATTCGCATAGATATCTAGAGGGTGTGTCGGTTTTTTGAGGACATTTGCATGACTTCAGAAAAAGACGCATTGGGCACCTCGAGGTGGGGTAATGGTTACCAAGCTTGTCTTGCTGGAACGATTACGACTGACTAGTAAGTTCGATCCTCACTGGGTGCACCATACTTTCGGCCTTGTACCGCATCTAAGCTACGCTCGGAAAATCTCTTCGGAAAAAAAGACGCATAACACTTGTACGATTTAAAAGATTTTTTTGGAAATAAATTGGCCGAAATAATCAGATTGATTCAAAGAATCCACTGTTAACGTGTACTTTATGGTCCTACCCATAGTTTCGTATGGGTGTTATGCATGTAGTTGAACGCATTCAGACCCCGCAAAACTATCGACTGTATACACCTACTTTCTCAGATCGGTGGTTGAAAATGTCTTCCAGCGTGTAGAAATCAGACAGGATACTATTTCTTTGAAAGTT